CATTAGGTCATTATTCACTTCAAATCAATTTTCGTCTATAATATTCATAATGTAATATAATGAGTTTAAATGATTTCTTTTCACAATGAGTTATCTTAGAATAGTTTGAAATTGACGGAGATGGCAAAATTATTCAGAATGATAGCTCTAAAAAAAGTTCTTGTAAGAATTTTAGTCTAGTCGTTATTTTCAGAAATAAGGCTAGGCCAAATTCTCCTCTTGCTATGTACGAAATTTACAAAACACCGAAAATACACTGATAGACTGATTTATTTATTCCAAACGAGATTCGTTATCTATTAACGAATGGTAGAGTTGAATATGCCCAAATGAATATTCTTTAATAGTTAACGAATAGTTCACTTGAAAAGTGAAAATCGAGTCGAACAAGGCTTCCCAAATGTGCATTTGTTAACTATTAACGAATGAGCATTTGGTGAGACCGAATAGACCTTCGTCTCCAACCAAATCCATTCGTTAACACTAACTAATCCTTTCTATCAGTGTATCCTTGAAATAAAACTGATTGATCGTAAATTTAAATAATTTTCCTATTCCAGGAGCATTTTGGCACTTGCCTAGGACTATTGAATAGATCAATCATTAGTAAACAATGCATACCATTCTCATTTTTAATCAATTAATAATTAGATCAAGCTCCTGAACAATGATTTTTTTTTCATGAAATGCAGTTAGTTTCTCTCTGTCTTTTTCGGTGGATTGAAATGTTAATTCTATTATTTATACATACTTTAATAATAAATCAACAATATATAAAATCACCGCATTTCTATCGCTTTATTCAAACCTATTAGGGAAGTATATAATTACAGATAAATGTAAAATACGAAAAAAATCATCGTAATTCACGGCAATTTTGAGCGTAATTTACGCTTCAATTTCAAGCGTAAAATACGTTTTGAAAAACGTTAAAGACGATTTCTTAAACGTAATTCACGTTTACGTGCTTCTGTATGATGATAGCATTAATTTTTTCCCCTAGGAATTCATCCTTAAATTTTCTAAATTCCCATGGACTTTTGAATTCCCTTTCTTCAGTTGAGATGATCCCCGAATGATCCATAATAAAAGACATCAAAGATAATCCTCAGAAATTCAACGTGCGGTGTAACCATAATTTTAATCTCCTAACTGGTCTCATCCTCTTGACCATTAGATGGGACACAACTAAGCTCCAACGTTTCTATTCATTCTACTCTCTCAGCCTCATCTCAGTGGCACATGACACAAATCCTGGGGATAATCCTGCTCTGCTATGTATTTACAATTGTGTGTAACAAACTTCGTCTCTTCAAAAGGAATGCGGTAGTATTTATACGGGCAACATTGATATCCTTTTTGTCATCATCAACATCGTGATCCCCGTCATCGTCACACATATCGTGTCGCCTCGTAGGTGAGGTGAATGGTATTCAAACCATATGAATAATCCTTTTTTGATTTCATCAAAATTATGAACGATTTTGAGATGGGTGTTACCGACCATTTCCGGATAATTATTTACGGAATCTATGATATGGGGTAATGTATATTTTTGCCGCAAGGCTGGAAAGAACTTTATGTCACACGGCGAAGAGTTATTCGACGAATGTGATTGCAATCCTCGCCTTCTGCTCGGATTGTAAAGTTACAGATAATACTTTTATCGCCTAATGACATAATGTACTATTTATCACTCCCTAAAGTAAAGTGGCACTTTACGGACCCTATGCGACCGCGAATCCCTGCCTACGGTCTTCAGGAAGAAATTTAGTACATTTTGTCATTAGGTCGAAAAAGCTATTTTCGTTACAAAACTGAAAAACATTTTTTAACGAGTGTGTTATTTTTGGCCGCCATGAAGTGTCCGTAAAACGTCGTTTTACGGACAGTGTGGTGAAATGGTATATTTTGTCATTAGGCCGAAAATAGTATATTTCGTCACTAGGCCGAAAGAAACTTTTCTGGCGAATATGAGTTTGCAGCCCGAGCCGAAGGCGAGGGCTGCAATCATATGAGCTAGAAAAGTTTTTTTTGGCCATATGACGAACAGTATTTTTTGTTATGACGGCCGTAGGCAGAGAATTGAGAGACAATTCCTTGCGGCCGGAATGATGAAAAATGAACTTTGAGTGCGTAAGACAAATGTTTGTGCGGGAAACAAACAAACGCGGAGATGACCAAACGCGGAGGTCACCCTCGCGGGGATTCGCCATCGTGTTATTTAGCCTCCAGCGTTGCCGAATTCACTCTACACTGCCCGGACGCGTTTTGCGAGTCTCGAGCAACGTCGCGTAACGGGCGATTTCATTAAACATGAGAAAAAATGATTCATCTCTTAGAAATATTTTGTTTTCTTTCTGAGTTTCGTGAATTATTTTGTTCTCCAAACTAATATAATTTTTTACACATTTTTTGATTTTTTAATGGAAAAAGTAACTTTTTGTGTCAATTTTTCTGGTAAGTCAATCAATGGTAATTGAAGAGAAATGACGCGCTGTGGTATTCCCTGATATGGTGACCAATCTAGGGTTAAAATAAAAAAATTAATCCCTTGGTGTTCATTCGTATCTCTTTAAAGTGACTTGAGCTTGTTCAAAACCCCACTCATTCTCCCCTCTTAATATATCTGTAAACCCAACGAAAATAAAACCATCGTAATCTCAAAACTGGTAAAAACCCGAAGAAAATAGAATAAAAGAATTAAATATGTTGGAGTCGCGTGCGTCGATATTTGCGTGTGCATAAGCAATCCAGCATTTAATGAGGAGTCTGCCGGCTATCAGGAAAAAGAATCTCACAAAAAAGGCTTAAGGTAGCCGTTTTTCGATCGTTCACCGATTACTTTACATCACGGAATAAAAAGGGAGAAAAATAACCAGTAGTCCAGCACGAATCGGAAATGGCAATTACAGATTTCTTTTCACCACACCTTTAGCATCAATTTATATCGACAAGAAGAATCGTATACCACCAATCGTTTCTACCATGTGCCAGTTCCTGCCACTTGGGAAGGCCATGTTCCAGTTATTGCCATCCTTCGGTGCCAGTTAATGCCAGAGGGCAAAATAACGGATAGTAGTAATATTGTCAAATAATAATGACCAAAATCACATTATTTCATCTATAAAATGGGAAATGGATGGAAAGATGGTGTATATCCTATCATTATTATAAATACCCTGAGAGAAAAAATTACTTTTGACAAAGATGGTTTTCATGATACAAGAAAATATTCTCTTGTCAATTTATAGAACCGTGAAATCTTCTGGTAAATAATTTCGTATTCACACTTACAGAAAAAAGTCTTTCAACAGGAGGAGATTCTCTTATCGAGATAATTTTCAAGTGTTAGCACAAGTCTTCCCATAAATTCATATAGTTTGCGTTATGTCTGGAATTTAATGGATTGTGAGAATTCACACTTTCTCGATCTGATCACTCATCAACTCCAACTGAGGAATTCTTGTTTCGATTGCACGACGAACACTTTTATTTTCAATTGAAGTGTAAGAAAATTGATCTCAAGTGTTGTGCTCTTCGTGCAAGGTTTTATGTAATGAAAGTCTTGATGAAAAAAAAATTTAGATATAACGTCAACTACATGAATTTATGGGAAGGACAACAATTCTAGTCTTGAGAACGTTTAAAAATTCTCGGAACAAGAGAATTTCATTCTGTTGGATAACTTTTTTCTCTCAGTCTGACAACAAAATTATTTATCAGGAGATTTCACGATTTTTAAAATTGACAAGAGAATATTTTCTAGTATCATGTAAACCTTCTTTGTTAAAAGTAGTTTTTTCTCTCAGTATATGTTGCGTCAAAGATCCTAGTGGCAAAAATAGGGACATGGGTAGATCTTACAGATTTCTTTCCACAGCTTTAGCATCAACTCATATCGACAATCAGAATCGTATGTACATGAGTTTCCTAGAAAATGTTTGCGTATCTCCCGCTAAAAATGATAGTTTCAACAGGTCCCATTCGAATAGAATGATGCATTATCGAAGATCGGTGATAAATGAATCTCCCTGACTCGTGCGGGCTTGGAGCTTATGAAACGATTTCTAGGATGCAGTGGAAAACATGAAACTTGCACTTATAGGTATAGCAGTTTCATCGCGTGAGGTTGATCGACATCATCTCTAGAAGTTTAATCTGAAAATTTGCAATACTGATTGTTGTTAGACTGTTAAAAATTTTCGTCTGAATTTTCGGTGCCAAATTCCGGAAATTTTTATCGTGTTCAAATTCCACTGAAATTTCAGGAAATCTTGTCATTGAAAAATCAAATATTCCATTGATTTTCTGTTCAAATGATCTGGAAATCAATAAAATACTTGATTTTTCAGTTCAATTATTCTGTGAAAATTCAGAAAAATCAGGAAAATTCAGGGAAAAATTGAAAATTTGTGTCATTTTGTTTTGAAATATTCATGTTCCACTGAAAATTCATAAATTTCCGTGAATTCTACATTTTTTTATTTTTTTATTTAGTGCATTCAAACCATTCGGTTTATTCCGCTATGTGAATTCTACTCAAAACTTGAAATTTCGTAACTATTTTTCCCCTAAATTCCCCTAATCTTCGTATGTAATACCACAAGAGCTTCAAAATTATTAGGAATTTCCCGAAAGGTTCGTTACAAACAAACACAAGAGTCAAGTTTTTCAGGTTAAAAAATCACGAGTGCGAATCATGAAAATTTTTCCGTGAAAAATTGACGAGTTCATTTCTATGCAAGGAACCTGGAGGGAAATACCTGATTAATTTTGAAGCTCGGGTGGTATTCGGAGGAGAATTTTTCCATCCAAATTTTGGCCACGAGAATTGCACTATAAGACAAAATCCATCTGTCAGTTCAAATGAGGGGCTCACTCGACCAGGAAATCTTTTGTTTTTCACATATATATCAACATGAAAAATTATCAGATGTAATTTCCAGACGCTAGTGTGCAATTCCCGAAAAAATTTGATAATAAAAAAGTATTGTTACCTCGAATACTGCGCTGCGATTGGCTAAAATCCTGTCCCAGAAAATTCTCAGTTGAATGCCGTATTGACTATATAAAACAACAGTCGAATAGTGGAATTCTATAGCCTGAAATTTAGATGGGAAAAATTCTCCACGAAATTTCAAACAATTTCTAACAGTGTAGAGAAATTCGAGATGACCCAGCAATCAATGATTCCGATCAGATTTACTGTTTTCTCCAATCCAGTGTTTCCGATCAAACCCACCAACAACCCGTGAAGATGCTCCGCACACAGTATTTATTGTTCTTTTGACACTGTGTAACGAACAGAGTTAACATGAAGTTTATAACGGCGAGTCAGTGTATCCAATCGGCAAATCCACCGAAGCGAAACCTCAAAACCGCGGGTTTGGCTTCAGGTGCTGTGTCAAGACACACCTATTAACCCTCGTGATTGGTGCCCAACGGACTGCAGTCATTGAGATTGTTGTCTTTCAATTAAACCTCGCATGGGCCCCACACAAAGCACCCGAAATGATAGGATTTATTTGCCCGGGGTAGAACATTCTTCGTTGTGTCGGTCTCATCGCACACATTGAATCGCGTATAATCCCGATATACATAGATAAGGATTAGAGAACCTGGCTAAGTGGTTCGTTCACGTGGGCTGCGGTGAACAGACAACGCGTTTTCTTATACGAAGAATAAAGAGGCGGGTTTTTCGAGCTCCAACCGTAAGGATTATTATTCTACAAAGCAAACTATCGCTTCATCATTCATCTAATGCCGGTATTTATGGTGCGTTTGTTGAATATTATATTGGGGACGTGTGTCCAAGAAGTTTCATTATTAACGCCCGGAAAAAAGAAACCGAGTGATAAAACCACAAGACTTTTTCTGTGAAGATATTTCACAGAAAAACTTGGCGAATTCGATCAACAATTCTATTGAACTTTGGTAGCTTGAGAGCACGTTTTTTTTATAGAGAATCGGTCAAGCTTATCCAGAAAATCCAATAGAATTTTGTAGCAAATTCGTTGGGTAAACTGCTAGAAATTTTTTGAAATTTCATGGAAAATATGATAGTAATTCTCATAAGAGTGACATTGAATCAGATTTTCAGAGAAAAATGGTTACGAAATTTCTAGTTTTAGGTAGAATTAATGAAAATTCATGATTTGTAAGTGGGATTGAGATGACAATATCACAACTTGATTGAATTTTCAGTCGAACATGAATATTCAGGAAGAAAATGACATGAATTTTAAATCTTTCTCTGAATTTTCCTGATTTTTTCTCTGATTTTTTAGAATTTTCAGAGAATAATTGAACTGACAAATCATGTATTTTATAGATTTTTAGATTATTTAAACAGAAAATCAATGGAATATTTGATTTTTCAATGACAAGATTTCCTGAAATTTCAGTGGGACTTGAACACCACAAAAATTTGCGCGATTTGGTGCGGAAAATTCAGACGAAAATTTTTAACAGTGTATTTCTGTGGAATTTTTTCGTATGCAAGAAAAATTGAAATTGCGTGGACAATTTAGAAGGACATTTCAGGATTGCAACATTGGGGAGAACGAAGATGACATTTTAAATTTTCCTGAATTTCAAATTAAACGAATTTCTCACACGGAGAGAAATATTCAATAAAAATTACACATCTTTCCCGTAATTCCGGAGCGAAATGTGGTAGGAAATTTTACGGAACTCTCACGTAATTTTTACAGAGCGTTCCTTCATTTTACCTGAATCTCCTGTGAAAAGTTACGATACTGTCACTTAAATTTTCTGAGTCGATTCCATAATCGGTGAGCGAACTGAGTTCCGTAATTTGTACTGAACAGTTCTCTCCGTGCATGCGGAAAAAAATATACTTGCATTGAATATCTTCGATACCAGAATCAAGTATATACGTAAACCTGATTGAAGAATAAAATACACTTGATTCAAGTATATTCGAGTATAAAATATACTTGATTTAAGCATATTTTATGTATAACATACTTCATAAGGATATTCAAGGATGATTATTCCGTATCAGCCCAGGTTGTAACAAGCGCTCTCAAGTGTAATATAAGGGTCAGACACTAAGTATAAAAATATAAGGGTCAAAAAGTGGAGGTTAAAAAATGAGGGTCGGAATATTAGAGTCAAAAACTGACGATTTGGTTTCAAAATAAATTTTTTCAAAGACAGATGATGCAATCATTCCCATGATCGAACTTGGTCAAGACAGCTTTGGTAAGAATATTTTAACCCACAATTGAATTCATTTAAACAATTATTTTTTCAGTAATCGTCAAAAAACGATCAGTTACACACACGCACACCTACTTACATCCGGACGTGGTCCAAAAATAGCATATATGAATCCCTGACACCAAAATTAGTGATCCTCACTCAAAGAAATTGTAAATTTCTCATTTGACGAATATAATACACGGAGAGAAATTTTTGATAAAAATTACCCTACCGTTCTATAAAAGTGTATCATGAGTCATCGTTTCTTTATTTCTCTCCCAAAATTTAGTAAAAATGAATATATGATGATCAAATTTTATTTTACGTCAGAGAAATTTTATCCTGACGCATAATAAATTTTACCCTTCCAGTCCAATGATTTTTATGTAGATAACAACAAATTCTAGAACGGTTGGTAAATTTTACCCTACCGCTACAGTAATTTTTACTCTATTAATATGTTGTTACGATTGAGTTATTTAAACTATCCACTTCCCCTCCCTTGGAATGAGAATGAGAATGATGTGGTTCGAATGGTTACTAAGGGTTGTTGTGATTTGTTTTGTGTCTTTATCCGTATGTAAGATTGGAAATAATAAATCGCCCCTATTTTTCCTGATAATTATTATCTGAGTTGATCTCTACAATATGATGATCAAATTTTATTCTACGTTAGAGAAATTTTATCCTGATAAAAATAAAAATTAGCGTGCCGGTAGAGTAAAATTTACCAACTTTTCTTGAATTTTCGTTGTTATCTACATAAAAATTACTGGACTGGAAGGGTAAAATTTATTATGCGTCGGGATAAAATGTCTCTTACGTAGAATAAAATTTGATCATCATATATTAATTAATATATTAATTAATATATTAATTTTTACTAAATTTCGGGATAGAAATGAAGAACCGATGACTCATGATACACTTTTATAGAACGGTAGGGTAATTTTTATCAAAAATTTCTCTCCATGTACTTCCATTCGGAAGCAAAACATTTCATAAACAACAAAATCAATCCTTAAAAAGTCCTCAGATACATAAAGAATAAAATACCCTCAATTGTTTGCTCTTCTCCGTTATTACACGTCAAAGTCGCTAGATAATTCACCCTTTATTCCGCTTAATCTCTTCACCAGAGAAACCCTCCCCCGATATTTCCCCGATAATACCTCCTCCAACGTTGTTACGAACTTTCGTTTCTTCTCTTGACCTTCTTTTATCATATTTCGTTTTTTTCGCTGTTGTTCGGACTTGGACAACATTCACGGTGGGCTCATTAAATTGTGAACTTTATTACCAAACCAGTGGGTATACAACGTATTTGTAAAATGCCGGCGTTAACCCCCTTTTGACTTCAGTCTTTACGACAGGCTAAGATATTACATTTGATATTAGTTTATATTTCCCGGGGTATTATGGACTATAACTGGGGGAGGATATCAACATCAGGAAGTTGATTTTTTGTATTTCAATCTCTCTCCACCTTAAGCCACATTCATACTCATTCATGCTCTCGTGTCATTATTATTATTGCTATTGAGGGACTTTTTTGCGCTGTGAAGCATGAGAATTTAATGACACATATGATTCTGTGATTCTAAAACTCCTAATTCCCGGTGATTATGCAGATTTATTTACTTCCTTTTTCATTTAATTGGAGGAAATATCTTTTTGATTACAACAAGTTATTCATGGCAGGTAACAGCGTGTTCTAGAAATCAGTTACAACTTGCGCTGCGGTGAGAGATACATTCACGTAAATCTCAGTCATTAAGCCTGTCATACACTAATTGGAATGACAATCATTTATGGAAAAAAAGGGTAATCCACCTGCAGGAAACTCACATTGCCTTTGGTATTTCAAGGAAACTTGAATGGCGCATGAATTCAACGGAATAGGAAATTCTGCTCAACGATTCCACGCGGAGGATAAATTTGAAAAAAGATTGCCAAACAAGTCAAGTAATCGTCATACCTGACGCAAAAATTGGTTATCCTCTTCCAAAAAATGGTAAATTTCAAATTTGACGAATACAATGATTCCGTTCAAAAGCAAAAATACTAAAGTATTGAGTAAACAAATCAACGCATATCATAACATGCAGAAAAATATTTGCTGAGTTTCACCAACTAGTTGTTGAAAAAATAAATTAACTACCAGTTGTTGAATTTCAACAACTAGTTGGTGAAATTTAACAACTAATTAATTAAAATTCAAAAAAGATTTTTCAATTTCATTGAATCAATTTTAACTACCAAACTAGATGGTGAGGGCATATGTACATTTGGAAACAATCCCGCAATTATTAATATCTTGAAAATTGATTCTGCACGGAGAAAATTATTTGATGAATTTTACCAACTAGTTGTTGAAATTCAACAACTAGTTGGTAATTCATTTTTTCAACAACTAGTTGGTGAAATTTAACAACTAATTAATTAAAATTCAAAAAAGATTTTTCAATTTCATTGAATCAATTTTAACTACCAAACTAGATGGTGAGGGCATATGTACATTTGGAAACAATCCCGCAATTATTAATATCTTGAAAATTGATTCTGCACGGAGAAAATTATTTGATGAATTTTACCAACTAGTTGTTGAAATTCAACAACTTTTTGGTAATTCATTTTTTCAACAACTAGTTGGTGAAATTTAACAACTAATTAATTAAAATTCAAAAAAGATTTTTCAATTTCATTCAATCAATTTTAACTACCAAACTAGATGGTGAGGGCATATGTACATTTGGAAACAATCCCGCAATTATTAATATCTTAAAAATTGATTCTGCACGGAGAAAATTATTTGATGAAGTTTAACAACTAGTTGTTGAAAAAATAAATTACCAACCAGTTGTTGAATTTCAACAACTAGTTGGTGAAATTTAACAACTAATTAATTAAAATTCAAAAAAGATTTTTCAATTTCATTCAATCAATTTTGACATCAAACTAGATGGTGAGGGCATATATACATTTAGAAACAATCCCGCAATCATTTATATCTTGACAATCGATCAATTTCTCCCCTAGAAGATATTTCCGCAATAATCTACAATTTCTTGTTAAATTTAATCCATCAAATAAATCGACGAACGTTTATTGAAAATTTAACAAATGGTTGTGGAATGAAATTGAAAAATCTTTTTCTGAATTTTAATTAAATAGTTGTTGGAATTCAACAACTTTTTGGTAATT